TTATATATATATATATATATATATATATATATATATATATATATTGCGCCTCACCAAAGCTTGTGGGGAATGCGTCGGGGTTTGCGGGGGCGTTTGCACCAATAAGGAACATGAGGGCAGCTGCACGTTCAGCAAACGAGACTTGCTTAGGTTTAGGATTTAGGGTTTAGGGTTTAGGGTCTAGGGTTTCGCTGGAGGGGCTTGCGACATACTGGAGCACAAGAAGGTGGTGATAAGGTTTGCAAGGATAACTGCACATCCGTAGCCCCGAAGGAGGTGCAGCAAACGGTCTTCTTTATCTGCTGCCAAGGCTACTGCTGCAGCAGTGCGAGACTCAGGGGGATAACGAAAGATATCACTTGTAGCGGGGCTTTCGCACATATTGCGGATGCCTGCATTTGCATGAGCTACGTAGAAGCGTAGTGACTGCAGCAGCAAACAAAGCAGCAAAAGAAACAGAGTCTTCCTCCCTTTGTTCGTCAACACCCATATTGAGTAGACAAAGCTGCTTCACGTGCGGCGTGTTGCAGTGCTGCTGCTGCATGCATGCAGTGCTGTTCCTGCAGATGCTGCAGCAAAACCTACTTGTGCTAAGCCTGAATCTTCAGGATGCTGCAGATCTGCAGCTTCTGCTGCTGCCCATTGAGGGGGGCTTTCTGTTACGCCCGCCGTCTTCAGCGGGGTGTCTGGATGCATGCTGAGCGTAACAAGAGTGTGAAAATGAGTGATTAAAGAAGTAAAATAAAAGAAAATAACAGAAACAACCCTTAGTCTCTATAATTTTTCTTGTATTTACACCCTTAAAATGCTGTAAGAAGCATTTGCCTTCCCCTATTATTGCAACATCCTACCAGCTTGCGCTGCTCGTCTTAACAGCGTACAAGACTAGTAGTTTGACTCATAACGGTGTTTATAAGTGAATAAAAAGGGAAAAATAAAATAAAAAGAATAATGAAAATAGATTTAGACAGTTAAAAGGAGGCTAAACGCCCGACTGTTATCCAACTTCTGCTGGTTTACCACTGGCTCACCGCCCAGCACCTTCTTCCTTCAGCTACAGCCAGCGCATTGCAATATGCCTTCAACTGGGGAAATAAACCTGAAATAAATTGTAATTAAAAAGAATTAATTAATATTTATCAATAAATAATATAATTTTCAAACATTTCTTCAAAATACACCAACCTTCAAATACCAATGCTCTCGCGGTTTCGGTGAGAGCAGGGCAGTCAAAGACATTCAGAAAATTTTATGTTTTTAATAAAAGAGAAATATAAAACAATTAATTAAAACAATTCTTAAATATTCTTTTCTAACTTTAATGTTTTATTATATTGTTATTTGAATCAGAAGAAACCTGCGAGTTTCTCGCTGTTCAACACCCAAATGCATATTCTTAGGAACCCCGGTCCAAATCCAGCGTCGTTTTCTTCTCTTTTTATTTCATTAAACATTTTAATAAATAAAAATATTTTATTTATTTTTACATTAACACCGACTGATGGTTTATTTCGTCAGGATATTTTGCCTTATTTTCTCTAGGATTGCAAATGCATTTATTTTTATTTGAATATCCTGCGTTTCAATAGAACCTAAAGCCTTTAAAATCAAGCTATACGCTATTAATAATGAGGTATGGCTATGCATATCTACATATATATATACAAATATATATCCATATACATATATATATGTATGTATGCACTGATGTGCATATGTATACATATTTATATATATATACATATGCCTATATATGTATATATATGCATATACATATATATATATATATATATGTATATATATATACACATATATATACATATATATATATATATATATCCGTTTTTATATAGTCCTACCGTCTACGGAAGGCATGTTGAAAACTGAATTAACAGGACTATATATTCTAATAGCGAATTAAAATTAATGCTGCAAAAAAACAAATACTAAATACTAAAATCTAAATAATACAAACTGTACAAGCAACTTAATATAGCAACACGAATTGTTAAAGAGGTGATTAAAGGCTCTTGTCTCCAGAAACCCTAAACCCTAAACCCTAAACCCTTTAGGGGGTTTAGGGTTCCTAGGGTTAGAACAACAAACAAAAAAATACGCATGCGTGCAGATGCATGCAGCGGCAGCCCCACTAAGCCCCAAATATCATCAGCAAGTTGAAAACAAAATTCAAATATGTTTTGTAAAAAGAGTCCGCCAAATAAATTCCTACTAAAAGACAGCAGCAGCTGCTGCAGCAGAGTACCTGCTGCTGCAGCAGCCCTGCAATGCAGCATGCAGCAGCAGCTGCTGCAACAGCTGCTGCAGCTGCGGCAGCAGCAGGTACCCAAAGCTGCTGCACAAGCCAGCTGCTGATATGTGGGCCTAAGAAGAAGGAGACAAGAGTTGATGCAGCAGCTGCAACTCCTCGCTATCAGCGACAGGAGGTGAAGGCCTTGCATAAATAAGTTCGAGCTGCAGCAGCAGCGCCCGCAGCAAGCAGCAGAATAAATACAATGTAAAGAAAGGCAAGACACAAGAAGCCTCAACCGTTTGCTGCAGTGTCTCTACCCACAGAAGGGAGAACAAAGAAGCACCAGCAGCAGCAGTACCAGCAGTAGCACCAGCAGAAGCAGCAGCAGCAGCAGCAGAGGCAACAGCAGCAGTAGCAGCACCAGCAGCACCAGCAGAAGCAGCACCAGCAGCAGAGGCAACAGCAGCAGTAGCAGCCCCAGCCGAGGCAGCAGCAGTAGTAGCAGCAGCACTAGCAGAGGCAGTAGCAGTCCCAGCAGCAGCAGCAGCAGCAGCAGCAGCAATGCTAAAAGTATGCGTACAAGGTACTGGCGGTCTTGCTGCTTGAGTTTATCAAACAAATGCTTAGGCTTAAAACCACTTAAGCCGGGGATGTACCACTGCTGCTGCAGCAGAGCTTTAAACAGCAGCACCCCATCAACAACTCTGCTTGCTGCTGCAACAGCAGCAGGAAACGCATTCACCTCTATCAAACCCACAACCGTATCGGCTGCACCCGCCAACCTGCAGCACAGCATATACATACATATAAATATATATATATATATATATGTATACATATACATATGTATATATTATATATATATTATGCGTATATATATATACATATTCGTTTGTTGTATATACTATATACTATATTTCTGCATTTGTATATATATATATATATATACACAATACATATATATGCATATACATATTTGCATATATATATATATATATTTGTATATATATAAACATATATCTATTAAACATTATATAAAAAAGTTTGTATGACGGATGAAAATATATAAATTGGAGGGCCTTGGGTTTTTACTTTTTGATCATTTGTTCATCGGCAGTTTTGGTTGCATTAAACGCAGAGACATTCAGAAGGCTCCTTCTTGTAGATATTTCGTCTGCTGCAGCTGCACATACACCCCAACGGGCCTTCATGCTCCCTGCCTCTTGAGCTGCTAAGAGGGCTTGAGAAGCAACAGCCCCCACCTCATGCCTGCAGCAGCAGCAGCAGCAGCAGCAGCAGCGACAGCAGCAGCAGCAATAGCAGCAGAATCAGTAGCAACAGAAGCATCAAACGGGCTTAAGGATGCTGCGGATTTGCTGCTGGTTTGCTGCTGCAGCTTCTATTGCAGCTGCTACCCTGGAAGCTACAGCTAGCTACTGCTGCTGCTTCTGGAGCTGTAGCTGCTGTTTCTGCTGCTGAATACTTGCTGCTGCTTCTGCTGCTGCTGCTGCTATTTGTCTTTGCTGCGGCTCACTGAAACAACTCCG